TCCACGGGCAACACTGTTTGATCTCTCAAAATTCAGGATGTGGTATTTGGTATCTAGAAATGGCTTCAGATACCCTCTCTATAAGGAATATCTAGCATAGCCCAAATAATATTTACCTACTCGGAAAATCATTATTAGTAACATTTGATAAAAAATTCTAATGTGGTATATAAATGAATGAAACTGGAGACGGGTGAGGGAAGTGATGTCTATTATTTTTTGTTGCATAAGCAAAAAGTCAACTATCATGTGCTCTCTCTTCTCATCCAGCCATTACAAATGTGAAGCATATCACATACGACAATCACATTTTGTGTGGGTTATCTACACCGATCAATGTACATGATCTTTTCAGGGTTAAGAAGTCGTGCATCAATGTAGGTATTGTCAATGGCACCAATACAATTCTATTAAAATAGTTAAAGATGTTATTGCCAACAAACTAATTAGAATCAGATGTGAATGTAATGCGTGAATTAAATTTACCTTGAAGAATGGCATAAACCGTGGGGTCATTAGCAATTTTTGCAGGAGTCATGTCGAATGACGGATCCTCCAGTCTAATTATCTATGTTGCTAAACTGACTAGTGCTTCTAGACCCATGGAGAAATACCAGCTGATTGTCTCAGAGGAATGTCGGAAATGCGTTGTCGCTCCTCTCAATGATTCATTCTATGCTAGAATGTAGAGTGTTATTACTAAAATCTCCCTTGTAGTCATTCTAGAGGAATCGTGGAGCCTATGATTGTTATGAAGTTCATTGAGGTGATCCAAAAAAATGGGTACTAACATGCAGAATATATTATTGAACCTTGTGCATGTCCTTCTAGCATCTCATAGACCCTTTTGTCACCAATGAAAGACGATTTCATGCATGGAGTTCAATCCACGATAGAATACTAGCACTACTTAAAATGGAATAACATCGATAACAAGGGGAAATACAAGCATTTAGGGGTATAATTATTACCTAAACTTCTCAGTCCACCACTCTTCTGAAGCATCAATGGTCCTCTTGATAGGATCGCAACCTAATCTTGTGGATTCCCGTTTCAATTTATTCCATAGCTTCCAATCATTTTTTAATTGGTCTCACTTGTTCTAGAATTTTAGCCTATCACACTCCCTTCCTGTCATTTCCTGGAACCTCTTCCAAATATTTTGTCACCCTTTTTTTGTTAAAGTATGGGTGGGTCTATTTGCAAGCTCAATCTCTTTAATACATATGTTGTAGAATATGTTTGTTACTTCTTTATCCCATATTGTTGATGAAGCCACTTCTGTAGTCTTAACCATAATGAAACTAATAATAGAAATGCATAATGAAATATAATGATAACGAAAGTAAAATAAAGACATGAAAAAAATACAAGAAAAAGAGAGACCAAACCAACAAAAAAATAATAATAAATCATGAAAACACATATAAACAAAAAATGGAAAAACACCCAACAGTAGAGAGAGGCCCACACACCCAGGTCCACCAACACCACCAACACCTAAGCACCAGCAACTACACCCAACAGTAGAGAGAGGAGACACACATACCTAAATCCAGCCACCAACACCAACACCCAAGCACTAGCAACAACGCCCAACCGTATGGAAAGGAAACACACACTCCCAAGACCAACCACCAATAGCAACACCCAAGCACCATCAACACCTAATAGTAGAGAAATGAGACACACACACCCAGGTTCAATCACCAACACCAACACCTATGCACCAGCAACAGCACCCAACTGTAGAAAGATGAGACACACACACAGTCGAACCACTAACATCAACACCCAAGACCAACACAACTCCCAACAGTTGAGAGAGGAGACGCAAACACGTAAGTCTAGCCAACAACACTAACACCGGAGCACCAGTAACAACACCCAAAGTAGAGAGAGGAGGCACACACACCCAGGTCCAACCACGAACACCAACACCCAGCACTAGCAACAACACCCAATAGTAGAGGGTGGAGACACACACACACCCAGGTCCAGCCACCAACATTCACAACCAAGCACCACCAACAACACACTCAATAGTAGAGAGATGAGACACGCACCCAGGTCTAGCCATAAACACCAACAACTAAGCACCACGAACAACACGCAAAGTAGAGAGAGGAGACACACACACACTGAGGTCCGGCCACCAACACCCAAGCACTAGTAACAACACTCAACAATAGAGAGAGGAGACACACACACACAGGTCTAGCCACCAACACCAACACCCAAGCACCAGCAACAACACCCAACAATAAGGAAAGGAGACACACACACCCACATCCAGTCACCAACATCAACACCCAAGCACCAGCAACCACACCCAAGTGTAGAGACTTGGACCTTACGAAAAGGAGACACACACCCAAGTCCAGCCACCAACATCAACACCCAAGCACCATCAACAACACTCAATAGTAAAGAGAAGATACACACACCCAAGTGTACTAAAATAAGATAAAATGTATATAAATTACACACACTCACCCAAGTGCCACCAACAAGAACATCACACATACACGCACTTACATGTTACCACCAACCCACGTCACCCACGGCCACCATCATAGCCTCTAACACAACCAACACACACACAATCGCACACACTCACACGTCATCAACAAACACATCACACACACACACATGCCCCAACAAGCCTCCACATGCCACCAACACAACCCCCGCCATCACCAACACACACACATTCACATGCCACAAACAAGCACATCACACACAGACACTCCCACACACCCACACACATGTCACCACCAACCCGCAGACCTAAGCCCGTGCACAACACACACCCAAGGCCACCAACAAAGACATCACACACAGCCTCTAACACATCCTCCAACCAAATCAAATGTATCATCAGAGCAACCCTAAACAGCCTTTCGAAAAGGAGAATTGTGCAAAGCCTCATTCACCCAATTAACCTCAAAATTATTCCAAAATCACAAAATATCCCAACATAATCCACAAAGAATATAGAAAACACTGCATTATAGATAACCCATTACAACCAAAAAATTCCTAAAGAAAAAAACCCTTTGCAACTGAAAAATTCCATAACGAAGCAGGGAGATCATCCATTGCAACCAAAAAGTCCCACAAAAAATATAGAAAACATAGCATTATAGATGTTCCAATCAGAAGTGAACCAACTCAACAACAAGCAATCCAACTGGAGGCGAGGGATGTTACTTAGGGCAAGAGTGTAATGATCAACATACGAGCGAGAGGCGAGGGATGATACTGTGATCGATCGGCCTAGGGTAAGAGAGATCGAGTGAGGGAGGATACATGCAGTAGAAGTGCGCGGGAGGAAGTAACCTGTCGATCGAGGATTCAAGTCCAGGGTTCCAGGGTCAATCCTGCGGCCCCGTCTATTAAGGAAACGAAAACAGTTTTTCTCAATAAGCTTCCTGAACCACGAACCAAACGGCGTGGCAGCGTTTTCAAAACGTCGCCCGCGCCTATAAGTTGCCCTAAACAGCCCCTAAGTAGGGTGGAAAAACACATAGCTTACATCCATAAGCCATTTATGGCAAGATAAACTTTGATTTGGTCAAAACAAACACATGGTCAATGACCTATATTATATGCCTTCAACATGATCATCTTCTTTTAACATATTGGTTGTTAGGATGAAAATAGTTCATAGCCAAACCATAGACATCCATCTTCTTTCCCTTAATGCTTTTATCAATAATCTTCACATAAGCATCTTCTACACTAATGGCAATCTCGCCTAACCACGAATTTATTTTTTGAACCATCTAAACATCCATCTTCTTGACTTTAATGTTTTGTTCAGCAATCCTCATGTAAGTTCTTCTACATCAATAAAAATTTGCTAACCACGAGATTATTTTTTGAATCAAGAAACATGTTTTTTTTAATAAAATGATTTTGATACTAGTGATGCTAGACCCATAATAAAAGGCTACTTTGGGGAATTAAGTTAGCTGATCAATATGGACAACACGTTGAATATTAGTGGTTTGCGAACATTGAGCTTTTTTTGGCATTCATACTTGATTTAATGACAACATTGATTTTGTAAAATTATGATATAGAAATATCTTGTTCTTGAACTCATAGACTAAAAGAAGTTCAAAGGCCACTAAATGGAGACATGCAACATACACAAGCCACATGTCCTCAATTTAATGTGTGTTTGAGATAATAAATTTATAAGTTCACTTTATAGATGACTTCCACATATCTATTTATTTTAAATTTATTGTTATTTTCTTTATTACTATTTTTTATGTGAATGAGCTATTTACTACAAGATTAACCAGATTGTGATAGTTTACAAAAATTTTCATTAGACTTTTTATTGGAATTGTTTTTCTACAAAAATTATTAATAGATACAATAATCAAATCCCAACTTTTCAACTAAATTTGGAAAGGGTGTTCTGTTTTTTTAATACTACATAATGACTAAGAACACAAATAATGGATTAATTATTTTACTTGCTCAAAGGGGAAGCCATTCCCATATGAAATGCAGTTATTTTATGGTTCAGCTTGCATATCATTCTATCTTTGTATTGATTGAATTATATATATATATATATATATATATATAACTCATTAATCAAACAAAAAAACACCATTAAACACTTAGAGAAACAGAATTTTTTGAGGGCAGTGAAAGTAAACAGCAAAAAGAAAAGCATAAGAGGAGATAGTGTGCGTTAGAGACAGAATCAAATAAAATAATTCCTCCCTGGCCTAAAGAAAGGAATAATATAATATGGTAGAACAGAAGGGCATGCTCACATAATGCCCTACACAAAAAATGAAAAAAATGAGAAGAAAAAGATAAAGCTGTAGTCTTTGTAACCCGTACTGTATGGCATGCAAGCCTTCCTTTCCTCTTCTACCAATAAAACTCATGATTTCATCATAAAAGGGAACTCTTCGATTAATTATAATAATGAATGGTCCCTGTATAATTTTCTATATATCAATGCTTGTCAGAGTCAATGGCCATGTTATTTTGAAGCTGACCAGGAAAATAAATAGAGAGGTCCTATGATACAGTTAAGAAGAAGACAAGCAGAGAAATGGGCTCAAATTTTCAGAAAAATGGCTTCTTGTAGCTGGAATTCTGCTTCGATTATTGCCATATCCCTTTGTCTTCTCCTTCTCACTTCTATGAGTTGTGCTTTCTGTTCTGCTGAGGTGAATACGACAACACTTCAGCTCAGGAAGTATAGGAAGATAAAAGCTCATCTAAGAAGGCTTAATAAGCCTTCAGTGCAAACAATTCAGGTATTATACTCTCTGAAGCCAAATTCATCTTTTTTTTTCAAAAGACTGAGTTTTGATGTTAATTTTCAGAGTCCTGATGGTGATATTATAGACTGTGTGCCAACAAATTTACAGCCTGCTTTTGATCATCCTCTCCTCAAAGGACAGAAGCCATTGGTAAAATTGTTTTTTCATCCAAAAGATTGAATTTTTATGCATGAAGTAGAGGAATTGAGAGATTTGTGTATGTAGGATTCGCCTGAAAGGCCGAGAGATAATTCCAGGGACACAAATTTGATGGAAGAAAGGTTCCAGTTATGGAGGAATGCAGGAGAGTTCTGCCCGGAAGAAACTGTTCCGATTCGAAGAACCAGGGAAGAAGATTTATTGAGAGCAAGTTCTGTTCGCTGGTTTGGGAGGAAGACTGTTTCAAGATTCAGGAGAGATTCAGATAGCAGTGGCCATGAGGTTTTTATATATAAATATATAAATGCTGAATTGCATCGCGTACTCAGATCAGTTGGTCAGGCATTTGCTTGTCAGTTGTAAGCCCGCTCTGCTCTGGGGTTTGATTCTCCCGAGTGAAGGGTGTGGTACTCAATTTTATGTGGATCCTTTTGAGTGGTATTATTGGCATGAGGGGGAATATGAACAAGGCATAAATTTTGTTCATAGAAGAGCATGCTTTGGTGCAATCAGAAGTTTTATTTTATAACTAAGATTTTTAGTGATGAACTTTCTAATAATTATCTTTGTTTTATTAATTTAGATTATAAATAATAATATTAAATGAAGCAATTAATTTCTTGAAGTTTGGCTCCATAATAAGATGAGGGCCACTTCCTGCAATAAAGAAACTCTCACAGATAATTCTGTCTGAGCTATCTGAAATCATAGGACCAGCCACTCACTTTATAATTCAATTACACCATTTTCCTGTTTGGTATAACTGCAAAAAGTATGGTCAATCAGACAATTCTGAAGTTCACTTCAACCTAGAAATTCTGAGCTTTCTGAACATTTTCAATACTGCAGCATGCGGTTGGATATGTATCTGGAGAGGAGTACTATGGAGCAAAAGCCAGCTTAAATGTATGGACTCCTACGGTTAAAAGCTCATTAGAATTCAGCTTATCACAAATTTGGGTCATCTCCGGATCATTCGGAGAAGATCTCAACACCATTGAAGCAGGATGGCAGGTTCAGGAAAATCAAAATTGCATAAATATCCTGCTTATAATTTTTTGTTCTGAAAAAGAAAATTATAATTACAGTACAAGATGGCAAAAATTTGTTTCAGGTCAGCCCAGAATTATATGGAGATAGTTATCCGAGGTTCTTCACTTACTGGACAGTAAGTATGAAATCAGAAATATAAATTAATAAAGTATGGATATTGATGTAAATTTATGTATGTTAATGTGGTGTTTGATAAATGTTTAGACGGATGCATATCAAGCTACAGGATGCTACAATCTTTTGTGCTCGGGCTTCATCCAGACTAATAATAGGATAGCAATTGGAGCTGCCATTCAGCCTGCGTCAACTTATGGTGGGGGTCAATTTGACATTAGCATTCTTATCTGGAAGGTAATTAACATCATTTATGACTATGATTTTCTTACCTGATTTTGCAATAAATTTTAGGGAAATTTGCAAACATACCACACAATTCCTATGTATATACCTATCTAACACATAGTTTAATATTTATATTAGCTTTATATATATATATATATATATATATTGTTTGAGGAGCGAACAAGCCAAGCTCAAGCGAGCCCTGATTAGACTCGTTAGCTCGTGAACAGGCTCGTTTAAAAACAAATATTAACAAAAAATATACTAAAAATATATTAAATTTCAAAACTTATCTTTAACTTATTAAATATGTTACAAAAATAATATTTTTTATTATATATTAGGTGATTTCTTATTATTTATCCCCCTAATTGTCCATTCTATTTTGAATTTATTATAAAATAAGTTTAAATTATTATCATTTTCTCTTTTTTATACTAAGTAAGCCGGCTCACTAGCCAACTCGAACTCGTAGGCTTCAGCTCGAGCTCGATAAAATTAATGCAAATATGTATTTTACCTTTTAAAATTGAAAGTGATTATTTTTTAAATGATATGAAAGATTTGGGTGGCATATATAAATGTCAAAAAGTGAAATTTAAATGTTAGATCTGTAAATAAATAGGAATTGGGTGGTATGCATGTAAATTCCCCTACAAATAAACACATTGGAATCAAGAAATAAGACTAATGAATGATAAATCTAGTATCAAAATTTGTCTAGTTATTTCAATAGAAGAGAAAAATCTAATAATAAAATAATCCAAAAATGATTTCATCAGAGAAAATCATTTTCAGATTCAAATTTTGATTAATTTCAAGAGCTCCACAAATGTGCAGGACCCAAATCATGGGAACTGGTGGCTAGAATTGGGATCAGGCCAGCTTGTGGGCTACTGGCCATCAGTCCTCTTCAGCCACCTTGCAGATCATGCAAGCATGGTTCAATTTGGCGGAGAGATAGTGAACACTCAGCCCTCTGGCTTCCACACATCAACGGAAATGGGAAGCGGCCATTTTTCTCAGCAGGGCTTTGGAAAAGCTTCCTACTTTAGAAATCTTCAGCTTGTTGATTGGGATAACAGCCTTGTTCCGGTCGCCGGACTCCGGCTGCTCGCCGACCACCCCGGTTGCTATGATATACAAGGAGGATTCAGTGGTGTGTGGGGAAATTATTTTTATTATGGGGGGCCTGGAAGGAACATGAAATGTCCTTGAGGATATGACTCCATTTTTTTTTTTTTTGGTCGAGTGTTGGGACTTCAGCAGGGGTTTTGAAGAATTGTGTATATTTGGTGTGAGGTATAGTGAAGAAGAGAATGTGTATACGATTGGGATTCCTTTTGATTTTTTTCTCTATGGTTTACATTCAGATTAGAGTGGCATTTTACCTTTTAAAATTGAAAGTGATTATTTTTTATATGATATGAAATATTTCGGTGGCATATATAAATGTCAAAAAGTAAAATTTAAATGTTAGATTTGTAAATAAATAGGAATTGGGCAATAGGAATTGGGTGGTATGCATGTAAATTCCCCTACAAATAAACACATTGGAATCAAGAAATAAGACTAATGAATGATAAATCTAGTATCAAAATTTGTCTAGTTATTTCAATAGAAGAGAAAAATCTAATAATAAAATAATCCAAAAATGATTTCATCAGAGAAAATCATTTTCAGATTCAAATTTTGATTAATTTCAAGAGCTCCACAAATGTGCAGGACCCAAATCATGGGAACTGGTGGCTAGAATTGGGATCAGGCCAGCTTGTGGGCTACTGGCCATCAGTCCTCTTCAGCCACCTTGCAGATCATGCAAGCATGGTTCAATTTGGCGGAGAGATAGTGAACACTCAGCCCTCTGGCTTCCACACATCAACGGAAATGGGAAGCGGCCATTTTTCTCAGCAGGGCTTTGGAAAAGCTTCCTACTTTAGAAATCTTCAGCTTGTTGATTGGGATAACAGCCTTGTTCCGGTCGCCGGACTCCGGCTGCTCGCCGACCACCCCGGTTGCTATGATATACAAGGAGGATTCAGTGGTGTGTGGGGAAATTATTTTTATTATGGGGGGCCTGGAAGGAACATGAAATGTCCTTGAGGATGACTCCATTTTTTTTTTTTTTTGGTCGGGGGTTG